TCGCCTATCGTAAGGGGAAATCAGCCTCGATGTGTATTAACGAATGCTTATACTGGTCAAGCAGGTTCAAGAAAGAGGGTTATAAGGTTGTCATGTGTGTGCTTGATATCAAAAATGCTTATGATTGTGTAAATCTTAGATTACTAGGTGAGACGTTCATGCAAATAGGTGTTAACAGCAGGATTGTAGACTGGATTGTTAATTTTTTTTCTAAAAGATGGTTGGTCTTAGGCAACAGTAGGCTACTGGTCGAAAATGGTCTACCCCAGGGTAGTTGTCTGTCTCCCGTTCTATTTAACCTGTATACTGCAAAACTTCACGGTTTTATGGACGAAAAAACAAAAATGTTCCAATATGCGGACGATTTTGCGAAAATGTGTATCGGCAGTAATGTTGATAAAGCGTTACGAGTTATGGAAGCAAAATTGAAGGAATTTCATGATGGTCTTAACAGCCTGTACCTAGATATTAATGTCAGCAAAATCAAATTTTTATGTACTAACACTGTAAGGAGGAAAAATTTTTCCTTAAAGCTAAATGACGAACAAATTGAGCAAGTTTGGTCGATTAAATGGTTAGGCAGGATTATCAGCGCGAATGCAACAATCGGCGAACATGTAAACAGGTTAAAAAGTGTAGCAACTTCAAGCAAAAACTTGATTACTAAACTAACCACTATCAAGGCAGGTTTAGAACCAAAAATCGCAATAAATTTCTACAAATCTTTTGTTAGAAGCAAGGTTGAGTTCGGGAACACCACTTATGCCGATGCCCCCCGGGGATACAATAAGAAAATACAAACAATTTTGAACGACTCTTTGAGGAGGTGCCTTGGCCTCCCTCCTAATACCCCTGTTCACATCAGGTATGTGCTAGCAGGAGAACTTCCTCCGTTATTTAGAGCTGAATGGCTTACTGCGAGAGAGCTGGGGAAACAATTACTGAGTAATGATAGTTTAAGGGTAAGTCTGGCCCTTGGTAGAACTGGCAAATCAAGTTACAATTTTGTTTATGACAAGTTTAAAAATTTTTTTGACAAAATCAACCCAAAAGTGTCATTTAAAAAGCACCCAAATCTGAGAGTTGAAATGTCGAGTCTGGTGTGGTCAAACAGAAACTTTAACAAAGAGCAACTAAAATCGATTTATGTAGAAAAGATCAAAGGATTGCAAAACGAAGGGTTTTACCTGATGGCTACTGATGCATCGGTGACTGGTGAGGTCGTTGGTGTGCGATACATGATCCTCAAAAAAAATGGTCGTATATGTACAAACTGAAGAGTCTTTTTCGTCCACGTTCGGGGAACTTGTGGCAATAAGTNATTTATGTAGAAAAGATCAAAGGATTGCAAAACGAAGGGTTTTACCTGATGGCTACTGATGCATCGGTGACTGGTGAGGTCGTTGGTGTGGCGATACATGATCCTCAAAAAAAATGGTCGTATATGTACAAACTGAAGAGTCTTTTTCGTCCACGTTCGGGGAACTTGTGGCAATAAGAAAGGCGGTGGCTATCCTCACAAGACTAAAGGTGACAAAATTCGCGATTATCACGGACAGTATGGCTGCTATTAGACTACTAGCAAAAAATAACACGTCTAACTATATTGTGGCTGAGATACATGAAACACTATTCAGGTCGGCATGTGAGAATCTTACTTTCTTATGGGTACCGAGCCATTTGGGCATTTGCTATAATGAGAGAGCAGATGAGGCAGCAAAAGAAGCAGTGTGTAAGGGACTCGAGATCAGGTATGATTTAACCCTGGGTGAGGCGCTATGCAGAATTTGCAACATTATCTGGAGTGAATGGGAGCAGGAGTTTAGACTTCTTAGTGAAGACAAGGGAAAATTTTTTGCAGATAACATCAATTTCGACATTAANAGGTATGATTTAACCCTGGGTGAGGCGCTATGCAGAATTTGCAACATTATCTGGAGTGAATGGGAGCAGGAGTTTAGACTTCTTAGTGAAGACAAGGGAAAATTTTTTGCAGATAACATCGTGGTTTTGCGATAAGAAACATAAGTTTGATGTGTTCGATATAAAACTTCTAAATAGAATCATGACAGGGTATACATACGGCAGGGCTTACCAGAGTAAGTTTAAAAGGGATATCAATGACCTATGCACTGTGTGTCAGGTTAAGGAAACAAGCGAGCACCTTATTTTCGAGTGCAGCAAGTTTTCAGCCGCCAGACATGCCTTTCAATTCTTCAATGAGGTAAATAATCTGAAAGAACTTTTTAATGCATCAAACCCAATGTACTTCAGAGATTTGATTCT